TGCTGTAAACCTAGAGGAGACATACCCAACATTCAAGCTAATTTTGAAGAGCCTCACCAAGCCCCCGCCACCACCGTTCCGTTCACTCTTGATCCCATGCTTGCCATCCCTAGGCGTGGCAACGACAGGGCCATGCGCTTGTAGGCGAGGAGGAAGATCAGCTGGTCTACAATAACACTCAATTTCGCACGGCCGTTGCCGCCCCCAGTTCCACCTGTTAGGCTCACGATTCTCAGTAGACTCAGGTGCCTCGGTACGAGGCCTATATATGCGGGCAATTGGTTTCAATGCTTTTGGGTCGACCTCGGATACCTACAGCCAAACAGACCTCACTGAGGGCTCGGCATGGACCGTCGAAATATTAGTACCTTCATGTTGAGAACACTCTTGGGTAAATTTGATATTATACCCTCGTACTGCTGCTCGATTAGCGTCAGGTAACGCTCGAGGACCTAGCCGTCTTCGAGACACCGACTACCCTCCCTCAGCACTACCATGTCCGCCCTACGCCTGTCTTCCTCCGCATTCTCGAGCATCAACATTTTACATTTCTCGGCCCACTCATCAGACTGTCGAGGTGATCCTGCGACAACCTGCTGCTGCTGCTGCTTACTAGACGACGACGCCATAGCAACAAGGCTGACCCCGTCGACGACCCCTATGCCTTCCGCCTACCACCCCACGCCTTTGACCATCATCAACACAACAACTAGTCCGAGTAGCAGCAAGTAATACTCATAAGCTGAGCTGCAAATAAACCATCAGTAGCAGCCACGCTCCCCAACTCCGTAGCATATCGCCTCTACCATGGCAATCACTGATCAGGATTACCAAAGAAAATCCAATGGGGGATCAGATCCGGACAAGGGCAGCATACGTCCCGACAGATGATGACAAAATTGCGACCAGCATTAGTGACAAAAAGGGCAGGCTTGTGTGACCGGACTTGACCAAGCGACTGTAATAACATTCCAAAATAATGAGTCATTTCATACGGCAAGGAGGCCCTCGCCACAACGCCTAATAAGCCTCCGTAGAGTATCTCTTCTTAGCCTTTATATCCTCCTCAAACCACTTCTCCACTTCCTCCTCGCTCATCTTACCAACATCACCTACAGCCTTCTTCACCGCAGCCTCCACATCGGGCACAGCTATGGATGGTCCACAGAAATAGAAGTAGCCGCCTAGTTCCTGAATGTACTTATACAACAGCTCGGGGTTCTCAGCCATCTTATGCTGGACGAATATCATATACTCCTGGTCGTGAGAGAAGGCGTTGATAACCTTGGTGAGGACCCCAGCTTCCATGAACGCCTTCCACTCATCCCTATATAGGAACTCCTCCTTCTCATGACGACATCCATAGAACACTATCATAGGACCTGTATCCATTCCGAGCACCTTACGCTTGTACATACGGTCCTGGACGAAGGCACGCATAGGGGCAATACCAGTCCCCAAGGCCGACATGACCATAGGGGTACGCTCATCCTCGGGGAAGACGAATGTGCCGCTGGCAACAGAGACACACACCTCAGTGTCCTTGCCAAAGCCCAAATACTTAGTACTAGTACCAGTAATCAGCCTACCATCAGAGTTGGTCCACCTGTTGATGACAACAGTGAGCTCGACAATACCAGGCGAGTAGAAGGAGCTGTTAGCTATCGAATAGAGCCGAGGCTTGAGCAGAGGGATTATCTCCAAGAAGTTGACCAGAGTCATCAAATTAGCGGTCTTAGGGAACATCCTGAGGACCTCCGCATAGGAGACGCTTTTTGCGAGTAACTCCTTGAACTTGTCATCATCATCGGCAATATCAACGAGCTTCCGACGCTCCTTACTAGAGGCAATCCTAGCAAGCTGCTTATAGAAGCTGCGACTGGGCTTGCCAAAGATGTCCAGTAGCTCTACGAAGATCTGCCTCACGGGCACACGAGCCGTGAAGGCCGAGCGCAACCGGGCAGGTACATCCTCTGAGAGGCATTTCACAGAGACAACATCATTAGGGTCGTGATGAGTGAGTACTTCCTCGAAAAGTTTGTCAACGTCTTCCGTGAGGTTTTGTGGATATAGAGCAATAGCATCACCAAGCCTGAAGGGTAGGTCCACAGCGCTAGTGTCCAATACAATGTGACGGATATCACGCTCGTACTCCACTGGCGTCATACGACGGTTCTCCATAACTGGTACAGCATGAGAACCTGGAGGCACTATACGCTGATAAGGCAACTCCTTCTCAACCATAGTAACAGGGAGACTAGTGACCTCGAACAAGGCCTCATACTCCTCCTCATCCTCCGGCTTGGCACCAACTTCATCACAAACCCTCGGCAACCACTGATCGAAGGCTGTAGCCCAGCCGTCCTCATCTCGATCATCTCCCTTAGCAATGTCGAGCACTCGAGTGAAGCCGAGCTCTACCATACGCCTATCGATCTTCACAGCAGCTTCACAGAACTGCTCATAAGAACTATCCCCCATGCCAAACATACAGAAGCGACCAGCCAGTCTTCTACCCCCATGCTGGCAAGCAGCCATTTGTTCCCATAGAGCTTCGGCAGCAGTCGGCATATCACCATCACCACATGTAGATGTCAAAAGCACAATGAGGTCCTCAGTGGCTTCCTCCAGCATAAGCTCGTCCATACCAGTACAGAAGTTAACATGAACACCTCGGCGCTTGAGTATGCCAGAGAGGCGCTTCGCGAGCTGCTCAGTCGTACCAGTGTCCGAGCCGTAATAGATCCTGACGCCTGCCGATAGACCCGAGGCTAACACATCAGCTGATTGACTCTTCTCAATGGCAGCGTCCTTCAACCTCTTATGACGTTCCTCGATGTAGCGCTTCAGCTCCGACTGCAGATCAGCCGCATGGTGTGGCATTCGTCGGACCAACTGCTCGTATCGATTCTGGTTCTTTAGGAAGTTCGCCAACACATCGGGCTTGATGCTCTTACAGTCAAGCTGGAATGGATTCTTACCCACTTTGGCGAGCTCAGGGTCATAACGATACAGGGGATAGTAACCCGACTCGACTGCCGCCTTCTGATCCTCTGACATCCTAGTGAGACCAGTCTTAGTCCTGTGCTCGATGCAGGGTGCATAGCACATGACGAGGGAAGGTCCAACGTGCTTCTCAGCCTCATGGAAGGCCCGTACCGTCTGAGAGTAGTTGGCCCCCATAGAGCAGGAAGCGACATAGACGTTGGGGTATGTCATGGCCAGCTGCCCGAGATCCTTCTTTTGAAGGGCTCGGCCGTTCTGCATGAACTTAGCCACAGCCCCCATAGGAGTGGCCTTAGAGCCCTGACCGCCTGTGTTGGAGTACACCTCGGTATCCAACACGACTATATTAACATTCTCACCAAGTGCCAGCACATGATCTATACCGCCGAAGCCAATATCATTAGCCCAGCCATCACCACCAAGCATCCACATAGAGGTCTTCACAAATAGATCAGATAACCTCATACACTCCTCAAGACAGGCCGGCAGAGGCTCCATGTCGTTCATGATCTCAACGGCTCGTTCACCGTACTTAGAAGAGGCCTCAGGATGGTCTGCATTATCAAGCCACTGCTGCAGCATCAGCCTGAGCTCACCAGTGGCTATAGACTCTTGCTCCAATGCCTCCTGCACACGTAAGCGTAGCTGTTGGCGCCTATGATCCATAGTCACAGCCATGCCCATACCATACTCCGCATTATCCTCGAACAGGGAGTTACCCCAGGCCGGCCCCTTGCCCGTCTTCTTGTCTACAGTGTAGGGGATCCATCCAGCCGTGCCACCCCAAATAGAGCTGCACCCTGTAGCGTTGGCTATGACCATACGCTTGCCGAACATCTGGGTCAAGAGCTTGGCGTAAGGCGTCTCACCACAGCCCTCGCAAGCCCCTGAGAACTCCAATAGAGGCTGTTGGAACTGAGAACCCTTCAAAGTATGGGAGTCGAAACGATCCCCCCTAGACTCCAAAGTCATAGCATAATCCCAGTTGTTCTTATGACCCTCAGCCAAGGCATCGGGGAGAGGCTTCATCATTAAGGCGTTATCAGGGCATGCATTGACACACACCTCACAGCCAGTGCAGTCCAAAGGCGATGCTTGGATCCTAAAGGCCAGACCAGAGACCTGATTGCCACCAGTAGCTGGCTTGGTCAGGAAGGTATGAGGAGTAGTGGCATTGGCGAGCTCTTGAGGAGAGGCTAGGAATGGTCGGATAACACCATGAGGGCATATCGCCGAGCACTTGTTGCACTGAGTGCACTTGTCCATGTCCACAACAGGGATAGCTTGGGCCACCCCACGCTTACCCCACTGCGTCATCCCTAGTGGGACCGTACCACCAGGCTGAAAGGCAGACACCGCCAAGGAGTCGCCAAGGCGTGTATGGATCTTATCCAATACGTCACGGACAAAAGACGGCTCTTCACCATTCCGAGGCTTGATGTGGTCCGACCGCTCGCACTGCATCCACTTGGTCACCGGGACATCGATCTTGTGGAGATTGTCAATAGCATAGCCCACAGCCAAGATGTTCTTGCGCACTACATCAGCACCCTTATTCTTGTAAGTCTTCTCAATCGCCGCCTCGAACAACGGTAGCGCTTGCTCATAAGGCAGAACTCCAGAGAGACGGAAGAACACAGCTTGCATGATGTTGTTGATAAGCCTACCCATGCCCGACTCTTTAGCCACCAACGATGCGTTGATGACATACAGCTCCAAACGCTTCTCGGCTATCATCAACTTGAACTTCGAAGGGAGCTCTTCCTCGAGCTCATCCACAGTGATCCATGGGGCATTCAACACCACGATACTCCCAGGCTTACTAGCGCCTAGGATAAGAGAGGCATCGAACGCTCTCACGTACTCCTTCTTGTGCACAGCTACATATTCGCACCCACTCGCTATCTCATAGGGCGAGTCAATAGGCTCGGGACCAAACCGCAGGTGTGACACGGTGACACCGCCGGCCTTTAGAGCATCGTAGGCGAAGAAGCCCTGAGCATAGAGCTCAGTGTTGTCGGCAATAATCTTGATAGCATTCTTGTTAGCGCCAACCGTGCCATCAGAGCCGAAGCCCCAGAACATGCACTGAGTGGTAGCAGGATTGGACACGTCGATCTCCTCCGGGACAGGCAGAGATATGTTGTTGACATCATCATCAATACCAACAGTGAACGGCGACTTGGGCACCCGAGCATCAACGAGATTCCTCACGGCAGCGTAAACCTGGCCTGGGGTGAAATTCTTAGAGGCCAACCCGAAACGACCACCAATGACCTGAACCAAGCGTTAGTACCAATCGAAAATGACTGAGAATCAAGGCTGCTCACCAAAATATCCGGCCGCGTGGACTTCTGAATACTGGCGCAGACATCAACATAGAGCGGCTCTCCTATGGCGCCTGCTTCCTTGCAGTGGTCCAATACACAAATGCGCTGCACTGTGGCTGGCAGGGCGTTCAAAAAGTGCGGAATAGACCATGGCCTCAAGAGCCTCACACGAACCAGGCCGAGCTTATAACGAGGCTGTTTTCTTTCCAAATAATCAATCGTCTCGGCCACAGTAGACGAGCCAGCTCCCATAACCACAAAGACATGCGTCGCATTAGGATCGCCTTGGTAGTCAAATAGGTGGTACTCTCTACCAGTCAACGCTTTGATCATATCAAGGGCGCTACACATGTGCTCCGGCACTGCTTCATAATAGGGATTGGCAGCTTCAACATTCTGGAAGTAGATATCGGCCGACTGGGCAGTGCCCCTTAGAGTTGGATGATTCGGGTTAAGGGCCCGTGAACGATGTCTGTCAATCTCCTTGGACATAACGTGGACGATCAGCTTCATCTGCTCATCAGTAAGACCGTTTATCTTCTGGATCTCGTGGGACGTTCTAAAGCCGTCGAAAAAGTGGATGAATGGTACCGAGGACTTCAACGTAGCTATGTGAGCAGCTAGAGCCATGTCCATACATTCCTGGACATTACTGGCACATAGAAGGGCCCAACCAGTTTGACGTACAGCCATTATGTCAGAATGGTCCCCGAAGATCGATAGTGCCTGGCCAGCCAGAGTTCTTGCCGGCACATGGAAGACGCAGGGGATGAGTTCACCAGCAATCTTATAGAGGTTGGGGATCATCAACAAAAGCCCTTGAGATGCTGTGAAGGTAGAGGACATACCACCCACAGCGAGGGCTCCATGGACAGCCCCCGCAGCTCCGCCTTCACTCTGCATCTGCCTAACCACAGTAGACTGACCAAAAGCATTCCTGACGCCACTAGCAGACCACTGGTCACAATTCTCACCAAGAGGGGTTGAGGGCGTGATGGGGTAGATGAAGACAGAGTCGGAGAGATTATAGGCCACAAATGACGCCGCAGTGGCACCATCGTAAGGCTTCATGCATGTGTCACGGGCTCCTTCCAGTCTGGCCAAGACCATTGGATCTTCCTGTGAGGCTCGAGGGACCGGAGGGCCCAGCTTCCCACCAGACGACTTTGGTTTTCTATTTGTCAAAGCATAGGTAACCACTCCAGCCGCTGCCAATGCAGCAGCGCCACCAGCGATAGTCAGAGGAGTGATATTAAAAACTCCAAGTTCCTCAGACTCCTTGTTGGGCATCGGTGAGCGACACTGAACTGAAGAATATGAACGAATCCTACTGCGGCGAGCAGTGTTCTGAAGCCTGAGAAATCGTTCTGAAATGTAAAAAATCCAGAGACTAGAGTGATAGCAGAGACGCATAGTCGGACGTATGCCTATTTCGAAGATATTGCTTTAAAGAAATCGGCAGAGCACGCGTCACGGACCAAAGTTCTCTGTGTGCTAGATCAATTTGATAAAGCGCGCGCCCAAAATTAGTAGGCTGGGCTCGTAACACCATAATTGAGCGCAATCATGACCGAGCGCAACACAACTGAACGCAAAGAGTTATCTAAAAACTACAAGTGAGCGCGCGCTCACATCGTTAGACGGTACTACCGTCACTACCGTACAATACCGTCACGGTAGTGTAGGGGGGTTATTAACCCCCTCTATTTTCCTAAGAAAACGTTTGACTCCGGAGTAAACATTTTCTTCCCATCTAATCCTGGAACGTTAGAACGCAACATATTAACAATATAACATATTAGCATACGGGCTTTAGCACCTCTACCAGCGGCGTGACAACCAGGTCATCGGAGTAGGATACGGGATGGAAAAGGGGTTCGCAGACGCATCGATATGACCAACAAGAGGAACAGAAATTACGGCTCCCCGGAGGGAAACTCGCCAAAGAGCTCTCATCAATTCTCATCGAAATAATGGCTCTTTTCCCACCAAGTAAGTCTACTGCCAACACAACACCATGTTGAGCAAGATCACATGAGAACACAGCAACGCTTATGGGCAACAGCCTCAGGAGAAGCTGGCCTTGAAGCCGCTTCTTCACGCACTTTTTTACGAACCCCCTGGACAACATCCTTCTCTCGAGGGATGCGAACAATCTCCTCAGCTGCTGTTGTTGCTTCTGGTCGCTTCTCTCTCTTCTTTCGAGGAGGCACAGCACGAGAGCGGTATTCGAAGGGAACCTCAGCATCTGAGTACTCGACAGGTGGCAATGCTACTTCCAAGTGGATATCCGATAGGGAGGCATCCGACATCACACTGGCCTCTAGGGGACTTCCACTATAATGACTGGAGCACATCGACACTGCGTCATGTTCAGTCATCGTATCATGATGCTCACTAGAGACGTCGGAGTAATAACTGCTCTCTTCTAAGTCCGATGAACCATCGTAGACATCCAATACGGGTGCCTCGCGCTCACTCGAATAGCCACTCGAAGCATCATACTCGCCACACCCAAGGGCCACAGCTGGACCCTCTGATTCCGTGACGAAGCTGGTCGCTACACTGTCATCGACAGCTCGCTGGTCCCGACCTGCAGACCGACGATCGGCTACGGCAGAACCTTGCGGAGGTAGCTGTCGGTTGAGGGTTCCACCACTGCTGCTTCTCCGGGCTAGCTCATTGGCGCTGCCTATTGAGTCTGGGAGGGAACTCAGGAGGCTCGCCCGAGGGGATCCGTCCCCCAAGGGATCCTCCTCATCCCACAGAGCTAGAGTTGGATAAACCTTATCGAGAGTGTCGTCATACTCACTAACATCGCCCTGGGCAGCTGATGACGCAGCCAGTGATCGCGGTGTTCCCTCCCAGGACGTATCACCGGGCCACAACTCCGGCGGTAAGCCCCTCCTTTCCTCTTTTTCTTTCTCCCACATCCTCGCGGCCTGAGATCAACCCAATACCAAAAGATACGCAACTACCCACCGTGGCTCTCATCCCGAAAAGATCTCACCATTGCCCTGCAATCCTGTTTGCGCATCGCCTCGACCACAGCCTCCACTTCCCATTCCTTCGCCTCGACGACAGAGGTACGCCGCGTCAACTTCGTCGTGCTTGCATCTAGGTCGTCAGCCGAGTACGACAGCAAGTCACCATTGACGCCCTCAGCAGCAGGGATCGACTCTACAGAATATTCAAGCCGCACTCTGCTCGCCTTCCGTCTTGACTCCCCATTGGGACCAGTGGAGTACCTGCCCTCGCGGGGCATCCCAGCAGCCGAGAGGGTTTCCCTAGACTCCCTCAATGAAGCCCTGCCGACTCTGGTATCGACCGAACCATCACCACCCTCCGCCTCAGATGCCACACGACGGCTCCCGACATCATAAGAAGACCCTCCAAGGCTATTCCGAGATCGCCCCCCTAGACTCGCTCGAGTCGCGCTGGATCTCTGAATGTCGAAGCTCTGGCGAGCCTGTACGACTTCGGCCCAGCTCATTCGAGCCACTGCTTCGCGGTCCAAAGCCCTGGGCAAAGCAAAGTCAAGGCTCATGGAAAAGTCATCACGAATAGAAAACGCTCCGCTGTAATCGCTAGCCCCTCATGATGTAGAAACGCAACGATCCATCCAATATGAAAAATGAAACAATCACAACAACTTCGTCGTGCAGACAGGGCGATATCAAGTCTTGGCAGCTGAAGGCTCCTCCCCAGCGGCCTCGACAAGGGCCTGCATTATCGCCTCCAGGCTTGCAGGCTCGCCTTCGTCGTCCGATCTCCTGAGCCAGGGATACGAAATAGGAAGCCCAGAAAAAAGTAGGAAACAAGAACTGTATGAACCGCACTAAGCTGGAGGGCGAGTCTATCCCTATACTACTGGGAGTCTTCGCCTTCCCTCGTGCGGAAGTATATTATATCCGAAAATTCTTGGACGCATTCCAGTTGATTAAATTGCAACAAGTACACATTCGCCTCCGAGTTCACCAGGACGTTATTCTCGATGGCCTGAACACAGACGCCGGTTCGAATCCCGGGAGGAACAACCCCCTTTCTCCCATACCTTATTCACTAAGGGTATCGTCTTGGCTAAGGCAATGGTCGTATTGGTGCCATCCACCAAGGACATCCCCTCACAAAGATACTCCGTTACCCTCTCACACGCCCGGTCTGAGCAATAGAGCTTATCCGATTGACGAGCAAAGTGGTGCCAAGCCTTCCAGTACTCATGCTCTCCTTCAACAAGGCTTCATAGTGAGGAGAATCCACCAAGTCCATCGTCTCCGCCACTAAAACCTGTCCGCCGATTTCGGCCTCCTCCATTGGCGGCACTACCAACGCTGACTTGGGCGTCTCACTGCCAGTCTTGAAACTGACAACGACAACCTCGCCACCTCCCCATTGGCCCTCCGTCAATACAGCCCTTGCAATGCCGCTTCCACCACTGTCCGCAAGGTGGAGGCAATACCCGAGGCCGTCTCTCTACTGGTCGGAGATGGCAGCCTCAACCCACAGGCCTCCCTAGCGGCGTGGTCCACGAGACACAGTACCTACCATAGAAGAGTCTTGTCAACGCTATGAGCAACCCCACAATACCAACGGCGAGGTCAGGTGGTCGCCGATTGCCCTGAGGTAAGCCGCCAGCTCAGCGTTCATTTCAGAGGAGGTTCGCTCAGCATCTGAGATTCTGTACACTCCTTCATCATGGCAATCCAAGTACGTGGGTCTCCTCCAGTACTCCCCTCCGACTGCTTCTTAGGCTTCCTCCATTCACCACAACGATACTGTCGAGCTGTACCCGCTGACAGTGCCACCCGTTGTGTTAGTAGTATCAAGTGCAGGGTTATCAATGACGTGACCAAGCGGCTGAAACCTACCAATAGCGACGAACGTTTATGATCAGAAAAGTACAGTCTAGAGGGCATCCCGACTAGTACAAAGCTTCTGCAGCTCAGTGAACAGCCTTTGCTTTTCCTCTGCCATTCCAGGCCCCTTCAGTGCTTTCAATTTGCGTGGTATGTTCCTGTCTATATCCTCCTCATACGCCTGCTGTAGCCACACCCTCAGCCGATCTATGCTGTCACCAGTCAAAATGAGGTTATCTGCCACCACGACCAGGGATGGACAACTCCATGCAGCCATTACTATACCCGACTGATTGACAGGACTTCAGAATAGTACTTGCCATGGCCATGACCCTCGCATGGTGTTCCCTCTGACGTTTGCTGATCTTGGGTTCTCCCGGCTTCCCCTCGCCACCCTCCTCCATGATCCGATTGGCCTCCGACACTATACTCTGCAGCTCGCGAAACTGACCACACCATGTTGAACTTAGGCCTAGGTAATACCCCTGAATCCTATTACTTGCTGATAATACGGCCTGAGCCAATATACTGCCACCGCCCCTACAGCGACACCACCGATAATCCACCGCTTGTTCCGCCTCGACCAGTCCCAGGCCTTCCTGGGCATCCCCCTAACACTGTCCCAGTATGCACTCAACTGTGTAGTGTAGGCGGCCAGCCCACTAACAGGAGGGGATGTTGAAAGTTGATCGGGCGCGGCTACGGGGGATAGTTGAGATGCCATAGTCTGCGAACCCCTGCAAGGCTCCTCGCCCGTTTACATATAGGCCCACCCGTAATTTCAACGACCTCTTGAGCTGACCTTGGTTGGCCAAGCGTCGCCAGACATAGCCAGTGCTATTCCCTAGACTGATACTTCGTGCTGACCCTCAGAGAACACAACACTTGGAATTTATAACTTTTGGGACATCATATCAACATAGGTTCACACGAAAGGTTTTCCCATTCATCGCATACTCAGCGGGATCCAGATTGTGGAACCTCACCACGGCCTGAGGGAACGAAAAGGCGCAAAGCCGCAGAAGATACTCGCCTTACCTGCGCAGCCTCCACTCCAAACTCTGTGTGTAGGGTCTCATATATGGCATCGCACATCTTGCCTTTCAATCCTCCACCGATTGAGTAGATCTCCACTGAGACGCCATCAGCCACGTGTCCGCCAACAACAAAGCCAGCAGCAGAGACGACTTGGACCTGTACACTTTCATCATGTGCATCATTCTGGCCTTGAACCGCAACTCACAGTGATGAAATTCTTCGGCTTGCCGAGAGCATTCGCTACGACGTCAGTAAACACAATAGCAGCCTTGTTCGGATCAGCCAGAATGGATTGGACGTTGGTGGTGACGGCTACGAAAGGCATGAACACACGCTAGTAGCAGTAAACTGTCCACGACGAACACATTTCCCCTATATGTCCGGAAGCTATCGACTAACGACTGAGAACGATATCAGATCACTTGGAATGCAACAACAATCAGCCGTCACCCGACTGGTATGGTCCTAGGACCTAACCTTGAGCCCTTTTCACGCCCATGGAACATTCCGGTACCAATTCACGATACTACTCTCGATATTCTTCCTCTAGTATTCAGGAGTCCTCGCAAACTGTGACACTTCCATTTAGAGTCGCGGGTGCTCCTGAGGCGAACCTTCAGACCTCTCCCGCCGCAACTGTCACATCCTTCCCCATGCCGATCCCCGACATGTAGTCCCCCATACAGTATTCAATGTCATTCCCAGTGTACCAACAATGAGATTGGCATTAACCAATACTAAATTTCATGACGAGTGCATATGCAGCCGCAGCTTCTACTAGTAGCCAGAGTACTGTAGCCAAGGACGCGGAACTTCCCTATCGGGAGTGGAAGCAACGGTGAGGACGCACCCAAAATCACCCGATACTTCCCTTAAATCAACGCAAGACCGGAGTGACTAGGAATAGTGCACAAGTCAGTCCTCAGGGCTGCCCAAATGTAGGGGCCTCTCCCGTAACGTGTCGAAGCCCCCTTGCCTCTCATTGTCCGCACTATGGACACTGGACGCACTACCCGCACCAGACTCGCTAGACGGCCCACTACTACTCCCTGTACTCCGCTGTGGGTGCCGACGACGTCCACCTCGTCTGGTCCTTCTCCTTCTGGGAGACCGCGCGAATAATGCTCGCCATACCAATGACGTACCAGTGAAAACCAAGAACCCGATGAGAACGAACAACACGAAAATAACACTCATAAGAATTGGATGGGACGAGAGTAGATAGCGGATCCCCGACAATTGAGAATGGAATCTCAAGTCGGCTCCATACACCTGCAGAGGAGGGTTCATGCATACCGTAGCCGATAATAGTGGAAATGTGGAACTCTCGTAGACCTCCACATTGAGTTCTTCGAACAAAGGCACCGTTGCAGTGAACTCGTCGACTGTCCACCCTAGCAAGGCTGGTAGGACCATCAGCCACTCCCGCATCGTTCTCAACAAGGAAGAGTGGTAAGGCAGTAGAAGTGGCCGTCGGGAGCGGGCCGTAGGCGCATCTTGGCCCTTCATACCGTACAGAGTAACATCTACCATAACAGGACCCTTATCGAGGTTGTAGTGATTAGTAGGTAAATCCAGGGCCAAGGTCACATCATAGTCGACTGATGGGGCCGGCAGGTCCAATAACGGGGCAGCCAAAGCCTGTCGACTCGCTGTAGTATCGAACCATTGCCGGTTAGAGAAGGACACTGTAGCACAGGCAGGCGTGGCGCTATAGTCGAAGTAAACCGGGAAGGAATGGAGCTGCTTGGGTATGACCAACCAGTGTACGACCCAATAGAGAATCCATGCCGATATCGTCACTGATACTATGCTAAGTCCGACCAAGATTAGTTTGGACCATAGTAGTACTAGTCTCCATACAAAGGGGGATATGTGATGCGATAGGAAGACGAGGCCAGGCTGGATAGTATGCCAAGTCCCATACGAGGCCCGGGCCAATGCTGAGCCTTCAGCCTCACCATCCCTACTAGACTGTGAAGAGTTTGTAGGTGACGATATGTTAGAGGTCTGGTAGTTCTCGCTGTCTGAGGACGGGTCAACACCTTCTATAGGTAGTTGAGGTGCACCTCCAGCAGACCCAGTGCGCTCGAACATTTAAGAGGTGGATTGGAGATCGAATCTTGCTTCCTAACAACACTTGCTTTTACTCAATGGATGTTCATCATGCGGCGCAAGGGTGGTGGTCACCTTTGAACATGTGGTCGGACCACAGTACGAGTATCAACATGAACTACCAGAACGGACCTTGGTAGTGGTTGGCGAGAGTGATCTATTAATGCGGCAGCCCGGCCGTTTTGGTGCCTACCAAGGGTGGTGCGCCGATTGAGTAATCAACGATGACCAAGACATAGCGGTGCCCGAAGAGGAATAGAGCTGTTCCGAATTACAGCGGACTGTGGCGTCATGTTACGTCTCGTAGGACGGGCTGACGTGACCTCTTGTAACCGTCCGGAGCGCGAATGAATGCTGTTCCGCTGCTAATGCCAAGATCCTGCCCATAGGATCCTCTATTGGCCATAGCTTTTTGTCAGAGGAGGGCACCACCGGCAATTGGAGGGATTTTGGGTCCTCAGCTTGGGTTCGGAAAAATATCCAGGCCTCTTGTTTGGAAAGTCCAAGCGAGCAGTCACTCTAACGTGGCACATCGCAGCTCCTGACAGGGGAGTAAGGGTCTCTCCCAGGACGGTCCTTACGGGCAAGTTTCCTATAACATCAGAGACGCTAATTCCCACTGCTCAGCAACCAGCTTGCCAATGCACTCTTGAACAAGAGGAAATCTGCAACTTCAATGTACTTCTTTTCAAGTGCCAAGACTCTTCGGGAAGTGAATTCAAGCTCGGTGCACTCTCCCATGCTCTTGGGAATTTAACTCCGACGACACCACCTTCTACTCGAACGAAATTTGTATTTCCAGTTCAGTTCGGTAAGGTCGAGCTTCATCCGTTGGTCTTGACGTTTGCACGTTTTGTTTGCTGCTCCCATGGTCTTTCTAGTATGTACGACATTATGATTCTCAAAATCAGTCTAAGAGCACATACTTGCGTTTGAACTTGTTTACGCAACTCGAGTTCGCCAATGGAAATGTGAAGTGCGAGAGCCATGCATATGAATGAATGGTGATTAGTCCACTGCATCCGTCGTCAACTGTCACGAATGAGTTATCAGTTCTCACACGCTGAATCAATATCCGAGTCCCATTCCAGGGTCCCCACTCCTGAACCTGTGTCGGAGTGATCGCAACGACTAGGTTACTGCGATTCACGATGCACACCTGCTTTTTCGATTGCCTCTCCTTGGTGGTCGTAGTGAGAGTCATTCAAGTCATCATCAGAGCGGGACTGCCCGAGAAGGAAATACATATCACATTACGCTTTGCCCTACCTCCATTCGATCGATCCTCACTGTATCACTCGAGGCCAACAACTTGAGGCCAGGTGTAAGACCCTCGAGAGCAAGAATGAGACAGGAACGCCGATCTGCCTTCCGGAAGGCCGTTGGCGACATCAAGAACTCATCATTGTATAACCAACGATCGATATGGACCATACTACGTCGGGAGCTAGACGTCAAAGGATGTAAAACTGCTATACCGGATCACCTCAGAGCAGAGGATTTTGCCACCTACATGCAGAAACTCTACTCGGCAGAGAACGTTACTGTCTCTCACAGTGACGAGGACGTAAGAGATAAATCATATCCGTCAAGCAGCTCGACAACACCCGCCGGTCCGGACCATATCGCTGACTATGCGGATTGTAACCTCGACCCTCTACCGTTACCAGAGCCGATCACCTTCGACGAAGTACATCACGCAGCATCACGATTAAAAAAAGGGAGAAGCCCTGGAGTGGACGGCATCAGCAGCGACCTGATCCGTCAAAGCGAGGTGCTCCAACGGTGGGTATACGAGTTATGTTCGAAGTGTTTTGAGGTTGAAAGCCAACCCAGCGAGTGGCTAAGGAGCAAAGTGACGCTCACCAAGAAGGCTGGCAAACCCCCAAATGAGGTGGGCTCATATAGGACAGTCATGGCACAGGTATCGGCGGCAAAAGTGTACTCAGCGGTGGTATTAGAACGCATAAGTGAGCACCTGGATTCGCGGCTACATCACTCACAGTGCGGTTTCCGGAAATCCCGATCCACTACAGAAGTCATCCACGCAACAAACATTCTACGTGATGGTTGCCTGGCACACGGAAGGTCACTTTGCCTATTGGTGGCTGACTGGCAACGAGCTTTTGACAAGCTAGATCGCCAGTATATGATGAAATGCCTGCGAGCAGCCGACCTACACCCCAAATACTTGAGGATAATAGACCAGAGCTATAACGAAGCAGTTGCCTGTCTCACACTTGGCGGCGAAACATGTGAAGTAAAGCTATCCTCTGGGGTCAAGCAGGGAGATGTATGGAGCCCAATCATCTTCGTAACATCACTAGACGAAGTTCTCCGCCGTAGCATCATATCTGCTGGCCATGGATTTCGACTTACTAAGGAAGACTACCACCACCGCCGATATACTCGCTTCGCAGCGAGATCCGCCATATTACAGGAACCAATTGGATGTATATGCTTTGCAGATGACGTCACAGCTCCATCAGAAAGTATCGAAGACAGCGAAAAAGTCCTCAGGGCTCTTGAGATTGAAGGTCAGCCTGCCAACCTTACACTTGGTATTGGGAGCACCGGCTGTAAAACTAAGAGGCTCCTCATTAACTGCAAGCAACCGACATCCCATGGACGAGTCGATGTGGTTAAGAAGTTCCGGCAGCTGGGAGTCTTGATAACAGATGCGCCCGGATACGGAGGAGCGGTAAAAGACAGAATTCGTACTGCAGGTGCGGCCCTGCACAAACTCCGGGACATATGGAAGTCCCATGATATCGGACTGGATGGAAAGATGATAATCATGAGATCTGTGGTATTTGCTTCACTATTCTATGGTTCGGAAGCACTAGCGATCAATAAGGAAGAGGAACAGATGTACAGAACGTTTTACCATATATGTCTGAGGCGAGTATTGGGCGTGGCTCCAATGACCAGGCTATCATCACGTGAGCTCTATGTGAGGACACGTTCGCCTGCATGCGAAGACGTATTACGCGCGAGGAGATTGAGATGGCATGGTCACCTATTGAGAGCACCTGATGACCACATCGTCAACAGACTCTTGAACTGGAACCCGCGTATTCACTCAGGCAGCTCCAGAAGAGCCGGCAGGCCCCGACAGACATGGATCGAACTGGTGAAACAAGATATGAACGATGTAGGCCTGAGAGCCAGTGATGCTAAAAACCGGACAGTATGGGAGCGTCGGATTCGACTGGCCTGTGATGTACCGCCTCTCCGCGGCCGGAGGAAGTTGATGTAAAAAAAAACAAAAAAAAACAAAAAAAAAAGAAGAAAAAAAAAATAAAAAAAAAGAGAAAAACATTGTACTATTAGCTACTATTGTATTATCGAATAATGAAGACATTTTTACTCTGGTCCGACAATAACACTGATTGTCGTGTACTATGTATAGTTTGCAGACTAAGGCCTACTGGCCGTCACATTCCTTACCAAGGCCTGGTCAGCCTCTTTATACTTCCATTGTTGACCTTATAAACTCTGTCGAATCCTCCGAGGCTTTGCAGAGTCGCCTGGCCGAATAGCGGCCGTGAGCGAGAGAGAGAGAGAGAGAGAGCTCCCATGGTCTTTCTAGTATGTACGACATTATGATTCTCAAATCAGTCTAAGAGCACATACTTGCGTTTGAACTTGTTTACGCAACTCGAGTTCGCCAATGGAAATGTGAAGGTGCGAGAGCCATGCATATGAATGAATGGTGATTAGTCCACTGCATCCGTCGTCAACTGTCACGAATGAGTTATCAGTTCTCACACGCTGAATCAATATCCGAGTCCCATTCCAGGGTCCCCACTCCTGAACCTGTGTCGGAGTGATCGCAACGACTAGGTTACTGCGATTCACGATGCACACCTGCTTTTTCGATTGCCTCTCCTTGGTGGTCGTAGTGAGAGTCATTCAAGTCATCATCAGAGCGGGACTGCCCGAGAAGGAAATACATATCACATTACGCTTTGCCCTACCTCCATTCGATCGATCCTCACTGTATCACTCGAGGCGTGAGGAGGAGTGAGGGCACCGCTGCTGGAAGGTGAACGAGATGAGGATATCTAACATGATTACACGCACACAACTTCTACGACGATACCGTTACATCTGAGAGTGGTCCAATGGATCCAGCCCGCCCTATTCTAAGGCTTGTTGTATCACTGATCACCAGCCGGTCTCGTAGTCGTCCCATATCGCCCCTCATAGCACGAACGTCTTGCGCAAGTGACAGAACTTGAGACTGAGACACTGTGGTTTCTCAATGACTTTCCTATCAGAAGTAGTAGCACTTGCAGTGTCATAGTTGTCTTGCCCATGTCATGAACCTCTGCCTCTCGGTTGTCGAGATCATCGAGTAACCTTGTCAAGCCTGCCGGGTCCAGCTGTGACTGGTGGAACTCCGATCTTAGATTCTGAAAATGCTACAGTTGATGGACTGATGTTCATCTCGCTGACAGACCTCCACCGCATTTCGTGTCTCCGCCTGAATAGTGTTGATTAGATCGCGCTGGTCCTTCAACTCTGCCCGAACTTCCTCCATGAATGTTTTCAATGAATTCACCGATTCCTTTTCCGACGTGCAACTACACGTCTGCGAGGATAACTATCATTATTATCAACACCGCAATCTGCACCTGCGTATGAACAGCAGTCCGACTGGGTTCGGCCTTTGTAGATTGTAGGAGACCCGTCTCGGGCCCACTTGCCTCCTGTGGGACTTCTACGATTTTGTGCTCATCGAGAGTGGCTCTGGCTACCTAACGGAACAGCAAAGACTGTACTAACAACGCTCCTGCACAACTGTTAAGGGGATTGACACCAGGACTGTCGAGCCGATCGTGAGGTACTATTGTAACGTGGACGATTACGGATGAGCTACATATTCCATCAACCGTTTCTGCCTGTGTACATCTCTTTCACCAAATGACACTAATATCCACATCAACAGCATAGAAGCATTGTCTCAGCTCCAGTTAAGTAGCCAACAGGAGTCGATGAGGATACATTCAAGTGAGGGGAGATCAGTGAGATGGTCAGAGAAGCACCTACTAGGGGCTCTGCCCATGAGTTCCTCCTGGTCTTAAGACCGTCGTCAACAGCATCTACGATGAGTGGTCCAGTGACCTCAGCACATCCCCCAGTAGGTGTTGACTGAGCCGTTGACATAGCCGTGGAAGGCACCTAGCACAACGAGATCTCATCGTCTCCTTGATGGACGCCATCCGACATGGCGGGTATTAGTGTCGTCATTGGAAGCGTCCCGACTCAGTAGTCTCTTCGGTTTGAGATCAACCGGAGTCACAGTGCTGGGGACCTGCGAGAATCCCTCACTTCGCCTTGCCATAGATACCGTAGGTGACCAACTTCAATTGATGGCCGCGATGGACGTCGTACAGTCTCGATAGAGCAGCTCTGCCGACGCTGGGGGGTAGAGTCTTCCGAGTGCCGTTTGATAGCAGGAGTGGGCGACGCTGCATGGAGTAAGTCTGGCGGGGTCGGTGACGAATTGCGCTGGTAGGAGCATGTCTCTCTGACGTGAATGAGGGGAGTAGTACATCAGAGTTTGAAGTCAATGAAGAATGCTCCCCAGGGTTTCGGATCCGCTGCCATGTGAACTGTTTGGGACCTCTCTGGTCGTCTGGAGGAAGGCACTTCTCCGATAGCGATGTGAGAGCTCACTTACTGCCCATCCAAACTACTCTGCCTCCGTCGGACCTCTCGAACTTCAGCGGTCCTGCCCACACCTGAGCCCATACCAATCACAGCTACACCAGAGGGTTGCTGACCTGTGCCTGTCCATCCGGCCCTCGTTCTACCCTCAGATGTATGCACCGTTCCTGTCTGATAAGTCTCTTAGAGCCGGCAGGCATGGCATCGCTCGTGGAGGAGGAGGACGAGGAGGGGGCCTTCTCTTGTCTGAATGGGATGCTGGTACTGGTCCATCCCATATAGGAATGCCGACTTATAACAATGAATGTTGCCATCGTGCGCTACGAAATAGTAGGTGCCACTGCCGGAGCCACTTATCCACCACCCTTGAAGCTTGCTCATCGCCCTAAGGCAAGCATGTCCCACCCCTCTGTGGCCCTCATGCTGGTGCTCACTCAGAGATCTCTCTTTGACTCAGAGCTGCTTGTGTGAAAGCATTGTGGATAGTATATGATGGTCGATGCAGACCGCTTCCAGACGACAACCCTCCCAAGGTCCCCAGCTGTTGAGGTATCATAGTTGTCTGAGGGACATGCTGCAGGGTAGGGCTACTTGACGGTTATGACTACCCGGCTGAGGAGACCCGTGGATGGGTTTGACGGAAGGGGGATCATAGTACTGCCGAGTATGGCACTTTGCATCGACACTCGAAAGGGAACCGAGCTTTCTGAAAGTCCCACTTGCCGCAGATTACTGCGTTATAACTAACTCCACACGTAAGGATCGACAAAGCCGCACTCATGGTATGGCGGGGAATGCCGCAATAGAAAAAAGACGACTCCACTGGCGAGGAACGAGAAGTTATACCACACGCTGGCTCGATGCGCATATTCAAACGTTGAATGCGGGGACGACGGACGGCCCATGATGACGATGATTAATAGCTTTGGGCAGCTTTGTCGGCTGATCATCCGTCGAGGCTCGATATGTTCCCCAGTCCTCCGCATCAGTACTACTACGCATACACTCAATACCTCTCACGACCTGGCCCTTCTCAACCCGAGGGAGAATAATCCTCTCCTTGGCGCCGATGGCTCTCTCAACTCAAGACTCCCTACCCGCGACAGTGGGCCGCTAGGACACCACTTCACTCAACCCACTACGGCAGCCAACACATCGCTGGCGACAGACTCATCGTCATCCATCGTATCAGACCGTACCAAACCGCGCCGATTCGGCAGGAGGCAAGGCGAGCATAACCTAATCCAATAGGTTCCTCAATCCCTGCCGTAAAAGTGTTAACTCACATTATTATCGGCAACAGCTAATTTACCCTAATGTAATATCTCTCCTCACCAGGGGGAGAACAAGTACAGTAGATATAACGAGTGGGAACATGCGTCGTTCGATCCTGTTAACCCGGCACTCTGCGCAACACGTGGGGATAGAGAATCTCAATCACTGAATCTCATGATTCACAACAGTCATGCAGCAATGTACGGCAACTTCCTCAACAAGGGATGAACACAAGCTTCATTATCCCTTGATTATGTCCATCAAGTGGCTCTCCTTGTCATCCTCCTCAGGTGTCTCCTCCTGCTTAGTAGCAGAGCCCGGTAGACTCCCGACAGAGCTCTGCTCGCCCACCCGGATGGTCTCCTCTTCCATGATAGCGTCCGGATCAAAGGCATCGGCATCATCCCTCGAAATATGCTTCACTGTTGTCGGTGTGCCAGCGTCAGGAATGACTTCCACAGATACACCCGAAGGCGTCTTCTGCTGGACCTCGCTACTCGGGTGAGTGATCACCTGCCAGGACGAATCACTACTGTACATATACAACGATGCACTGCCTTACTGTCTTAACACTCTGGGAAGCTGGCACATGATGACCAAGCTGTCCTGACTGGCGATGACCACGTAATACTGTCACTTCGGAATTCCTGAATACTACATTTCACTACAGTACGAGATTGCTTCCGAACTTACACTTCGTCAAACGGGTTGAGAGATGGAGATGGGAAGGGGTTGGCATCCATCCCTACTACATCCACATGGCCCGGCATCAACAGTAGCAATACCTTCACGATTCCTGCCATGGATTAGCTCAACCCTCTTATAGACGGCTCCCAGTGGCTTCGTGCACTCCTCCATCTCTCTTGTTATTGTGGCCAAGTACGAGCATAACTGACCACAGTGAGGTGATTCAATCATCATTCACCAAACCCATACTCTCCCTATAGCCTACCAGCCCCAGTAGAGTGGCGAACTCCTTATCACGAGTAGCTAGTACTCCGGACACCTACTGTGTGCATCCTTATCTAACTCCTCGAATGAGTGCGTGCAAACTGTGCTTCAGTTGGTTCTGACGGTCGACTCCTCCCCAGATCCCCACGCTGTCTATTCCTACCCTATCCATCTTCTCGGCATGAGTTTTCTTGGAGCCCTTCAGCTTCTTAACTTTCACTTCGTAATGTGACATCAAATTATGAGCCCGGTCCCGGTCGCTGAAACAACCCTCTACAAGTCTTCAAGGCCGACAAGGATCGTATCAAGCGTTCCGAACTGCTCTTGCCCTATGCTGAATTTCATTGCAGGTCTGCGGCCGATGAAGCGAGCGTTTGAAGTTGATACGCAAGAGGTGTATCAACGAGCGTCATCATTGATTTGAGTGAACTCGTCCTCTCCTACTATGCAAAACTCCGAATGCTCGCCCTATGCAATGGAATTCGGGTAAGTTGCGGTATGTACCTTGCTGGCCACTCGCCCCTTACGTGAGCATAGTGTTCATATCCAACCCTTGCTTCATCAGCTGCTCAGATGCATACTTCATGCCTTCCAGATTATTGCCTCGGCCCCGGATGGTGGTCTTGAGGTGCTCTAAAGCCTCGCTCATAGTAGCTCTTATGGGTGCGTACTAAACATATGAGAGACCGTTAGGGCAGCAGTTGCTACCGAGTATTAACCGGATTGTCATTAGGGTAGAAGGACTTAGTTGATTCTACCAACTCGTTGTTGACACTCGCTAGTTTCTCCATAACATTCGACAGAGTGCCAACAGTAGTGTTGAATATCTGAGCACGAGCATATGAATATTACTGCTTGGGGAGAGCAACTCAAGTCCTGGTCTATAGCTCAGCGCGGGCGAATCTGAAATACCTTGCAGCGGTCGAAGAAGTCCGAAGCAATGGCCCTCTCCCCCTCCAAAGGATCTTCCTTCATACGCCGCACTCCCCGAATCTGATGTATGCATACTCTAGGCATCGTCAACTAAGGTGTAGCTACTCTTTCCTTAATCCTACGAAGAGTCTTATAACCCTCGAAGAAAGGCATGGGGTAAAAGTAAATAATCAACTAGCGGTCGCTTCATGATATGCAACCAACTCCGTTGGATAGCTCCTCCTCTCCAGCGCAGAGAGAGCTCAGCGCAACCAACACAACTGAGATGTATGCAGTGATACTAGCTCTCGTACGTTGAATGCATTTACTCAAAGTATCGACACGAAGCTTGTCATCGTGGTATATCGGATATATTGACGGAGAGACAATATGGTACATAACAATGCCATCAGATTCCTCGGCATCGGCATAAAATGGAAATCATGATACTACAGAAAATAATCACCAGCAGCGGTTACACCAGCATGAAGGGGGCCGAAGGGGCATCTCTCTTCTGTTCATTCATAGACATATCGTAACTGGCGACGCCAAGATAGACTGTAGCAGTACAGGGAATGCCCTCAGCTTACGTCGCTATTCCCGACATGGACTGGTTCATGATTGAGCCATTGGAATTCTGGTTGTGAAATGGGAAGGGGTCTTCATCCCGCTCGACCTGCTGCCTGACCATCGTCGGCACTTGGTCTGTGAATGTGGTGATGCCCTGCATCCCTGCTGATGCCGTTACTCCCAGATACCGAGAGTACTAGGAGAAGCCAGTACCACCCGTCCACTGTCCAGTTGTCTGCTTACCTCAGCGACGATCTTGGCGAAGTCAGCCTCCTTCCCTTCGAGTAGCTCGGACATTTCCGCTCTAACTTTGTTGTCCAACTTGATGAAAGACTCTTGCGCCATACGATGCTTCTCGACATTCTGACTTCTCCAAGTGATATGAAAACACGTTATTCGCCCCTACTCGTGAGAGCCTCTCCTCAGCCTTAAGATCCTTCTTAGACCGCTTGGAAGCATCCGTCTTGAGGTCCTCTATCTTGTGATTATAATGGTCGAGGTCAGCATACGCCCTATCGCGGTCCTTCAGCTTCTGCTGTAAGTCGGCATTCCGCTGTACCAACTTATGTGCCTCCCCCACAGCAACCTGTAGCTGCGGTCTTGACGCCTGTGCAGACTGCTGACATCTCATCAGCTGGTCCGCGAAAAGGGATATCGCCGGAGAATACTGAAGCACAGTAATCAACCACAACAACAACCAGCAAGGAAATAAGCTTACTCCACTCTCCTGCGTAGAACTAGGTGTGGTATCAACAGCGTAATAACATCCCTGGATTGCTTGGCATATCCAACTGCGAGGCCGCCATCTGATCTGTCAGACTTAGAAGCTTCACCAACTGCTGGTGGAAAGCCTGACGACAACAAGCGTTAGTGACCGCTCTCCTAGACGGCGTACTTGAGCCTTTGCCGCATGGTCCAATAATGCGGCCCTCTGCTTCTCAAGAGGGTCCGATGATATCGCCTTCACACCAATAACCTGAGCCTCACAACAATACCCCCAAAGGCCAATTTACTGCGCTACCTTGTCGGTGAGATTCCGCCAGGTTTTACTCGCAAATACTACCATACACTACTACTGGACAGCAATGTATCACTGAAGATAGAACTGCTGAGTAGTTACCATTACCCAACTCAAAACTCAATAGTCGATGAACATCTCAATGAGAAGGGTCGTTTGCTACGACATGTGGGATGGATTCTGCCGAGTCCGCCACCAGCAACGCCTAGGTCGGACTTAGGCCAGAGAATCAACCAGAAAATGTAATTGCTGAGTGTTGGTACTATCAAGGGGTATTCCGAGTGCCTCTGTCGATAACCGTTATGTAAGCCTTGTGACGAGGGACGGGGACCAATTCGGCCCTACTACTGCTGAGAGATCAACGCTACGACTCTCGCTCAACAGCAGCCGCAGCATGATTGTCATGACGTTTCCTTTCATTCCAGGAGTATATAGAGATAAATGTGATAGAAAAAACCCAACCCCTCGAGGCTTCTTGAATATTGTAGTTCACTTGCAATAACTAACAACATCCAATATCGTCTCTAAGCATCATCGATGATGACGGATGAACTGGATTCGCATAGTAGGCCACTGCAACTCCACATGGTTAACAGCACATTAAGGTGTGAGGGGAACCTCCTCCGAGTGCAAGTTCATTGAAGAGCCGCGGCGACTACGATCAAAGTGTGGGTGCATATCTACGCCGATCCCAACGATTGGTCTACGAGCCGAGTGGTTCAAAGATAAGCAAACCATGCGCTCTCAACAAGGAAGGAAAAAGGTATTGATTATTACCTGGTCAGCACAGCACATCTTGGAAGTAGAGTGCAACGGAAGTAGCGGTTCCATAACTACACTGCTACCAAAATATGAGTTTCTGACTGGTCCTGCAACATAAGCGCAATTTAGTCTTAACATCCTAGTGACGCCTCAAGCGTGCCCCATCGCTTATTCGCCCACCAGGGATCGATCCTGGGACCTTTAGATCCGTGACGACGTGCTCTACCAACTTAGCTGTCAGACGTAAAACCTTCACGGAAGACTATTTTGGTGGCCTCAAATTTCGGAACGCCTTATGGAGCTCCAGAATATTATGCTAAGAGTTGACTGCTATTTGGGTTCACTCAAGTAAGGTCTCCAACTGCGCCCAAACTAAGGGCGCTCCAAAGTTGCGTATGGATATGTTATAGGCCCACACTAAATACTCTACGAAATTTGGACGAAGCAGATTTTGCGTTCTCAGCGGAACGATGCTCGTGTATTCGCACCGGAGCCTTCAATTTGTGACTAATAGTTCTACGTTGATCGGGCCCTGATGTCAACCCTAGGGGATCGAGTCAGGAAAGGCCCTCTTATTTTGAAGGGGGAGAAGCCTAAGAAAAAGAAGAAGTCTAAGAAGCATCATCATCACCAACAGCACTCGGAAGATGACGGTACTATCTATACCTTCTCGGAGACCCTCTTATGGCGTTCCTACCCTAGGCCTGTTGTCTGATGGTAATGCAGAGGACGCCCCAGTAGAAGTACCTGTCCGTAAATGCACAGGGAGAATAGTGTGTACCAACAGCACAATACAGGTGAGTACGGTAGGCGTAGTAGTAGGAGTCGATGGAGGGTCCATCTTAGGGGATGAACACTAAGTTCATGGAAGAAATTGAGCAGGGAGATACGATCCTGGTACATCACCCACAGAGTTTACAAGTACGATGATGTCTGCACTGGATTGGAGAGAATGTTGGTTTCAGATCGAGGAGAGGCAGGTGGTCAGTGTTCTCTCCTCCCGATCATTGGTGGTGTCCGATCCCTTCAGCCAGGACTTCGTCACTACTACTGAGGTATGCTTCTGTTGTCTAGAATACGGACTGTAGACTATGTCCCTTCAGTTCCACGTTCGAAAGGATGGGGAGGTGCTCCGACGGAAGGTAGAGGCAAAGATGAAGATGAAGAAGGAAGAGATAGACGAGGAGGGAAACACTGAGGGCCACGGTAGTGTATATGGAATGAACTTGAGAGCATTCGAATAAACATTGAGTCTTGGAGTGTGGACTAGCAGTGGGGGAGATGTTGACCGACTTGTGGTATGGAATTCACCGTTTGTCAGGATCAGTAGAGGATCTCATTGATAAAGAGTTACAGAGGAAGTTCAAGAAGAAGCAGCAGAACTTATTCACGTGAGTCGACTCATGGTGTATCATAGGATAGGGGAGAATAGGTACGTTGAACGGCATGGGGCTTTCGGTTACAAGGCCCACTCTGAGAAGGTGGGCAAAGACGTGACTAAAGAGGATATGCTCGATATGAGGGTTAGGAAGGTCCACGATAAGTACTGCTAGGCTCACTCCTGTACATTGATCTACTATATCATCTCAATGCTCGGAGATCAACGCCGTGTTGGGTGCGCAGTGGGGTGATCATTGTACGTTAGTTTGACTGTCTCTATCGATACATGTCCAACGACGACTCTTCTTTCGGCGAGCTCGTCCTCCTCATAGGGGATATGTACATTCCTGAACGGGCCAGGGAGCTCCCCCTATGTTTTAGGGAATTACTGGTAGTAGTAAAGTGTAGGGCCCTTCTTTTCACACGGATGCAATTTCATCAGAATACAGACAAGATAAGCACTGTGCTGTGTACAGGGAACATAGGCTCTAGTAAGGAGATGCAGGAGAATGTCAGAGTCATGGGCCAGCAGTCCATCTACGTCGTGAGGCCTGACATCGACGGTGTTAGGAAGGATCTCGGGGATTAGGTTCGGGGGGAGCTCGAAGACGCGGATAGTGAGGATAAAGCTCTGCCGGAGTACATCACCTGTAAGGTTGGAGATTTCCGAGTTGGCTTGATCCATGGACACCAGATAACCCCTCAAGGGGATCTAGTAGGCTCCTGTTCCTACGTAGGCTCTTGAGTACCCCTCTACTTAGGAAGCATTGAGCATGTGGCAGAGGAAGCTCGATGTAGACATCTTAGTGTACGGCTCCCCTCATCTGCACGGTATCACTGAGCATCGGGTATTACAGTTTGCCTAACTGTACCATACAATGATGATACTCTATCACTTTCAGGGTAAATTCTTCATCAACCCGGGCTCAGCCACCGGTGCGTATGATCCTAATTTGCTAGGGTAGGTCTTTTGTGAGTGTATAGACTTAACAGCATGGTTCCTCAGGTCACAGGCCGCTGGGGTTCGTCCAGATGGCACCACTATTCCTGCGTTCATGCTCATGGCCGTGAGCTCACCGCCACCTATAGGGGTCTCTCTCATGCTTCAGTCAGGTACAAGGATCCAATGCTGTGGTTTATGTGTATCAAGAGATCGATGGGAAAGCTGATGTTGGTATGTCAGAGTTCAAGAAGTGCGTCGATAAAGATGTTTCCGCTGACCACCAGTGAACTATTGTCTAGACCAATGTAGTGTCGCGTTGTTACAACGACCAATTTAGTCAATTCTACTCAACAACTATATAATGAAAATTATGGCAGCATTTATGGTGACAATTCACCCATTATATATTCATCATCACTCAACTCTCCTAATACATAACCATGCGGTGGTGATGGAGGAAGGGGTACTATTGGAGGGCACAGCATGGGTTCTATAGTAGGATTCTCTCTGAGATAATAACACTTTTGATAAGCTACCGATATATAGGCACCTCAGTTGGATTGACACGTTAGCCACAGTGGAGGTGTTCTCGTCCATGAGGGTATCATCTACTTCCCAACCACCCTCATCCACTGTCTCGGTGAATACTGTCTTCAGAGGCTCTGATCTACGCTGCCGTTTGGTCATCAGCACAATGTTACTCCACAATAGGGGCATTTACAACAGTATAGTAACACCAAAATAGGGTAGCGAAAATTAGACATATTTTATACAAAGTGAATGATGCTACTCATCCTTCTGACCGCACAGCCACTTGAGGACCTTCGGAGTCTTCAACACTTGTAACCCGTGAGAGGTCGGCATCCTCGGATAAACGTCTGTGAAAAAGTAATAGATATGACCAGCCAGGATGCCCTGTATGTGATCAGCCAGTTGTCCTCCCATTATCTAAAGCAAGTGAATAATGGAGTGTCCTAGGTTGGAGCGTGGCCTACCAAAGATATCCCAGCGAGTATCCAAGGGAGATAAGGAGCCTTCACAGTGAAGGCGATAACATGTACTCGAGCACCTGGATTCCGCCGAGCCCATACGTACCTATGCGATGAGGAACTAAAAGGGCAGTGAGACGAGCGTTCCTTGTTCTACGTCATGACATCGATGATCGCGCCTGAGTAGAAGTTGGAGAAGTGGCCAGTGAGGAATGATAAGCCCAGGAGCATGGACATGGACACTAGCAACATGTATACGAAGTCTCCAGACCTGAACCAGTCATTAAGTAGGGAGGGTACGGTGGAGTTACCTCTGGCGGAAGACGACCTCTTCCAGTTGTGAACAGTAGAAATACATAACGTAGACATTCCACATGAAGCCTACTCCTAGGTCTCCATAGAAGAGGAAGCATGTGAATAGACGCCACCATTGGCCGTGCTCCCATACCATCTCCCTGAACGACGTGCAGTAGAACTATGTACGGCAAACCATACCCTTCCCAACAAGGCGTTACGTGGACGATATTAACAATATGGACTTCATCTAACTTAGCATCAGTAAAAAAGACTATGTGATAATCCTTATCAGTTCATACGAATGCACTGGGGCGTATCCCAGCGAATTATCGATGTTCCGAGAGAATGAATTATGGCTATCGTAGCAGGGTATACGATAAGCTTTGCTCCGCATCCCTCTGCCAATACTCGCGACCAGATAACAATGAACCTCCAATTCGAGCTGCTATCACAAATACTTGCTACAGAGATACCCTCAACAATGAACCCCACCCCTGATGATGATGGAGAAAAATACTACCAGTTGAAGTAGAGGGAGAATGGTGATATGAACTCGAGAGTACATGCCGCCATAAGGCCGAATGATATGCATAGCATGCCCTAAAGGGACTGTAATAGGAAGTCTCGACCTCCTTCTACTACCTTGGTCACTGGAGGTATGTTACCGATCAAATTAT